TATATATATATATATATATATCGTACGTATTTAATGCATATGAAAGATGAAAGTGATCGTAGGGTTCACATCAAAATTATCACCTACGTGGTAAATACCATGATGATGAAGGATAATGACGAATTATAATTTGATATGTTCACGAATTGTGCCTCAATATGATGACAGTAAAATAATGCACTCATAAACACCTGTTTCATCTGCACATAATGACTGCAAGAAAATTTTCATCGTTTCTAAAATAATAACGAAGTAGTTGTGAGTGTTTTTGTCATGTTGTTTCGCAACATTTTGGGTGGTCGTCGATTAGGTTTTTATACGATTCGCAATCAGCTTTGATAGAATGGTGATTAGAAGTTTGTAAATAGGTGCTCGTATATGGTCAAGAAATGAGGAATTACTGAGCACAACGGATGTGAGTTGATTTTGACCAAATGCGACCCAACTTAGCCAGACTGATTTGATCAAGTCACACCTGAGAGAGTGAGCTCGTTATTGCGGCATCAAATCGACTAAGCATTTTGATTAAGAATTCAAGTTTCAGTCACAGGTTTTGGAAAATGTAAATTTATATCATAGCTTTGTTGGTACCATATGACAGAAATGGTCGAATGTTTATTATGAAGAGCGTTTTCATTATAAAATATGTTTATTTATGCTTAGCAAAGAAATGTCAATGTTTTGTGGTAGTTCATAGCTGTGGTCAGGCTTACGAACAACTGTAAATTACAACAGAACTGAGTTGTCGTTCTATGTTGGTGAACAGCTATATTACTCTTGAATGTTCAATTGTGCAAGGATAATGGAATGTGCAAAGCTGACTTTGCATTTGAGAATTCGACGAATTGATTCTTGATCGTAGGAGGGAGTGAATGGATGAGAGCGTTATGATACGAATGACGTGATATGAATATGATAATGATATCATAGGCAGAACTGAGAAATTTATTGCATAAATGGGTGAATGAAGATGACAGGAACCAATTATTATTCGTAATGAGCAAATGAGAAAGATTTGTGCTCATCATGCGTTGGCATTGGCCATCTTGTTGATAAGAGAGATGGATTGATGGATGGCTCGATGTATGGATGACGGAGGACAAGAATAACGGATGAGATTGGAGAGTAGACCAATAAAGTGATGAAGTTCGATCGGATGTTCAACTGGTAAAGTGTAGAAAATGGGCAGAGATGAGTAACTAGTTTTGAGAAGCGGTTTGGATGAATTAATGTTGAATAATTAGGGCGTCGTCGTGTTCGTGGTCATGTTCAATCTGAGAGCCGGCTGGACCGAAGTGAAAACGGAAGGGAAAGGAGGAGGTGGGAGGAAGATGGTTGAATTGAGCGTTTGGGCGTCGACGATCGTCTTCTGAAGGTTATCTACCTATCTGAAGCAAGAGAATAAGAAGAAGAAGATGCTCTGGTATGTTGCGATCATCTGTGTAACTAAGATTTATTTATCTATCTAACACTCTATCAACTATCTGACTCGTTGGTATGTTGGAATGACGACAGGTTGAAAGGTCATCTCAGTCACATTTGTAGGGAGAAAGGGGGGGGGGGGTTGCCTACATGCCTCCTATCTTTCTTAATGAGGTCATTAATGCATCAACCAGTAGCAGTAGGCAAGACAAGACAACAGAAGAGCGATGAGCATCTTCATAATTTCATCTTCATTTTATTTCATTTCTTCTTCGCGTTCACCTCGCATTTACGCACATTTTGTACTAGTGACGAGACGACAACGTCAATCAGCCATTTTTATTGCAGGTGTCATCTGTCAGTTGTGAACGGTGCTGGTTTGGCTTGACTTAGCTTCGTTTCACTCAATTCTCACACGAGAATTTCAACTGAAACTTGCTTCATTCAGTGTTGTCATCTCGGCTGATTTTTGAAGTTTCAAACGACTGTAATTTTGGACAACAAAGGACAAGGAATAAGCCAGCCATTGTCGGATTGATTCACTGACTGATAATTGAGGTCAACAAGCAATCGAAAGCAATAGTTACTATTCAGAAAACAACTCATTTTTCTTTGTCTCGTCATATATGCCCAACATTGAACTTTAACTGATAATCCTGAACGAGAAGCAGCTGATCATCATATTTCACTTACCTATCAGTTCAATAACATCGCTATTAATAGCTTATTGACTCTACGTCGAGAACGCCATTTTGGGTGTTTGAATAAAGGAACGAGGACGAGATTGGCGACAGCTGCAAAATGCTGGTGGTCAATTCATGTTGGCCAATTGGCCGAATATTTTTGAATGGCCCTCTTCGTTTAGTGACTACATCGTTACTGCTTTCTTGTGTATTCTTCAACTCACTCCAGGTGAACGCATTAGACTGGATAATTTTTTAATTGGATTGTTCATTTGTTTGTTTGTTTTTTTGTAAGTTTATTCGTTGGACTTGATATTTCGAAACTTAATGTCTAATTTACTCTTTGAATCCTTATTTCAACAAACATAAATACTCAACATTCTGTTGAAGTCCTAGTTAATCATCAGTATACTCTATGAGTTATTCTAATATATTCCTGTTGCTTGCTACCTAGCAGTTATATAACATACTCTTTTGTTATCTTTCTGCGTTATAAAACATACTTTTCCCAACTGAATTAATAAGCGCTATCACCCTTTAGGAGTTTGGAATTACGAAATAAGTGATGTCGTTTGAATTCGAAAGCTCAAAAGTTTCCAGAATCAAAAATGTAGACTGTGAAACTACTGCTCATGTATATTGGTTACTATCGTTAGCAGATATACAATCGTCCTAGTGATTTCTAGCGCATTTGAATTCTGTTTTATATACTTGAAGTAAATAATGTTTTAAAAGGACTTGATGATCCTTCCTATTTTACTTGACAAGCAAATATCTGAATCGATTTTTAGAACATAGACTGATGTAGTCTAATGCGCTTGATCGATAGATGCGATGGAAATTAGAATCTACGTAGAAGTAGATCGTATTCAAAGTCTTATTCCATCAAAGAATTTTTCAATAATGCTTGATTCTAAAATTTTCGACTATGTGGTACCTCTCCGAGCAATATGGTCTGTCAGTCTGCTACCGAAATTCGAGTTTTGCTCTATCACAGCATGTTTCTGATGCCGCTAAATGATGAGTTGAAAAACTGAAGATTATGATGTGCAGAACATCAAGTTTGATATTTTTTCTCAAGTCGTTGATTTGATTTCAATTTTTAATGTCCAAATCAAGCCGGGGTCAAACTGATATTGTGCCTGTCTGTGTTTTTAGCATCACTCCCCACATTTTAAAACTATAATCAATCACCAAAAGAATGTTTTTTTTGATCAGAGCATACAGTCAAGGTACTCTTTATCGTCGTACACGTCAACAAATTCGTGAAGTGATGAATACTTGAAAGTTTATCTGGGAATTTTTTACCACTTTGAAAGTATGCCATTAATCAATTGTTATTTTCATATGTGAGGAAGGGAGATGCAAGAATCTCGTGCTGTTATCTTCATCAGCAAATAAGCAACATTTGTAACAGATCTGAAATGTGCACTACATTTTTAGTTCAGTAGCGATAATGATTTATAATTATTATCCGTGCTATCGAGAGTATTATCACAACAATCATTGTCATACAGCATTACTATCAGCATTGCTATTAGCAACAATGTTGATAAAAAGGAAATATTTCAGTGTGCAATAGCATCGCCAACGAATGATACAACAACAAATTCGAATTACATTATATCTGATGTAGATGTAAAATGTGCAGAAGGTTGGGAGCGATTCGGCGCAAAATGTTTCCGGGTCTATACAGCTGAACGGTCATGGCCTCAAGCACTTGTCCTGTGTTCAAGGTTCTTCTTCTAGTTCACATACAATGTAATTCTATTGCGATAGACGAGTTAGTGATCAAGTTTAGGATCATCACTTCTACTTGTCATATATACATGCGTTATTTTTCAAAAAAGATATCTCATTTCACCGTAATCTTCTTATGTATGCTTATCATACTGGTTTGTATTATCTCATGTGTTAGTGGACAAATGTAGAGAATAAATGATGATGATAGCTGCGCAGTTGCTCGGTGGGGAGGGGCCCACCAGCCGAAGGTTTCTGCAATAGCTGAGCTGTTAAAGCATCTACTAAGCACTGTCCATTCGACGTAAACACGCTTGCCTTGGCGGGTTTAACTCCTGCTCACGCCCGTCATCGTGCAAAAAAACTTTTGCAATTATAGGAGTAAAAGAAGTTGACTAATGCGTTAGTTGCACACATTTATACCACTGAAATTCAGTTGGCAGATAAAATTAATCAGTGATTAATCTGACAGCATGTGATTAATTCTCGACTAAATTTGAAATAATTACTTATTGAATGATCATCTCTATCTTGCATATTCAGGTACGGTAGCCAACTGGTTCGTATCGAATCGCAACATGAGAATAATTTTGTCAGTCGACTGCTAAGTCGGCCACAGCGGAATGGCCCATCAAATGGTCGCAATGATTTTTGGATTGGTAATTGACTCATGTATTCTTCATTTTATGATGTTTCTGATTGGCTTTTATCATGGCTTTCTTCATACGACATTCTTCATTCAACACGGTGCTTAAAGAGACAGTAATGGTTATATTAGGAATAGTAAGAAGAGAAATAATGAAGGCGATAATAAAGTCAATAATAATAATAATAACAATAACAATAATGAAAATAATAATGATAACAATGACAATAATAATGGCAACGACAACAGTTAATGTTATTATTATTGGTACTTATAATGAAGAATTTACTTCCGCTGAAAAGAATTCCGTTTTTTTGTTCAGGTATTGTCGCACAACGTACAGAAGACAATGACGCATTATTTTTATGGTCGGATGGTAGTGCAGTATCGCGGTACGTCGGATTCTGGCAAATTGGTCAACCAGATTACCGAACTGGAACGTGTGCAAAGGTTATTCATAGTGATAAATTAATATAATAATAGCTATGGTGATAGTACAATATTATTAATGATAATAATGTAAAAACTGATAATTTGATTCCTTCTTGATTATAGTGCTGGACTTAGCGCTGTTTCATTGAAGTTTTCATCTTAAGTGTTTTTGTTTTTATTGAACAGAACGAAAAAATCATCACAAATAATGTTGAAGGCTTCGTTGAGCACGTCGACGAATAGTTTAGAATGGAGTTTGGATATGTGCAATATGCTTTTACCGTTCATCTGTGAATTACCCGCATGTATTAAAGGTGCGTTGTTTTGTCAACTATCTATACCTTAGTAATGTCGAACCGAATTGCAGTTAACAAACATTTTAAATTCAACCATTGGATTGAATTTGACAAACGTGTTGTTGATCGATTGTGATGAAAGAAATTGATGTGCTGGAAAGTGATATTAACAAATGAGAAAGAAGCATGCATCACAGAATGAAGTGTTTATTGATAGCAAAAAGAAGAAACAAAGCTTATGCTAAACGCTTATGCAACAGTTGTTGCCATTGCGCCTGCTAGGGGTCGAAGTAAACTAAAAACGGAAGAAAAATAAGGTCTCATTAATTGCTGTTTAGTTGTGAACAATGACTGATATAATTTCATTGAGTTTGAAAGTCTATTGATGATTGAATTATTTATTTTTACATTCATCCAGTGATTTTGATCGATTCATTTCAATCGAACTGAATGAATTTACATATGTAGTGAATGATTCAGTGAATCAATTGAAGAGCTATGAATTATTTGCATGATGAAGTTGAAGATGAAATAATAACAATAATAATAGTAATGATTTGATTATCATCGTGTTCGTCTTTATGATCAAACTACTGATCAAATTTGTTGATGATGGTCGATAATTGTTGTATAGGGCAACGACCCAGAGCGCCTGCGCACTTCATCACTAGAATCGTCATCGTTGTTGTTACATTCGTTTAGCAGGACATTCCAATTTTCCCTTTTTTTCATCCTTCCATCAATGCACTCATCCTTTTGTACATTGTCTATCTCATCAGATAATCACTATCAGCAAATATGGATCATGACATGTTTCCGATTGTTGGTTAATTAATGATTAGCATCACTTTAACAACAGCAATACCATAAGTAGTGATTTTACAAGTTCAGTAGAGGTTAGAAGCGAGTAAATGTTTTATTTTTTATAGGAAATGGGATGTGAGAGGGAGGTAGAATAGGTCAGAAAAATTAACATTTCATTGCATCCAAGATGGTAGATGTTCAAGGAAGTAAAGTTGTTCGGTTCGATACGAATCGAACTATTTTATGCGCTGATTGAAGTAAGGAATGAATGAATTATGCATAATAGTAATACGATTAATGATAATAATGGTGATAATAATATTATAATAATAGTATCATGTAATGTACAATTCAAGTGATTGTTCTGTTGGCCGTAAAAGACCTTGAACTCCATTCAGTCAGTCAGTGGCGCTTATAAGAAAGTATAAACGGCGAAGGAGACAGATCAAATTATTGCAATGATCGAATTTACTAGATTTCATCATTATAAAACGATAGAAGATTATTGAATGATACCAATTCAAGCACATCTAATTTCTTGGTCACGATCACATGATCAGACTCTCGGATGGAATCGAACCGAGTTGAGCGAGTCAAGTGAAGTGGTCCATAATTCTTACACAATCGCAGTTTTGCAGTAATAGTAGCAGCAGTAGCAACTAGCTGGTACTTATATCTAATACCTATAACACTTGCGCCATCATTGCCTTGTGATAAATATACCTACATATACGTAACATGACAGTGAAACGTTTCATGAATAGAACACCTGGGTGCACATTATAAACATAATCAAATCCAGTAAACTCTAGGAAATATGCTAAAAATCTCTTGTTATTGATGCAAGAACTTGTAACAGACGGTTCCAAAGCAGAAAGCGCGAAATCTCAAAGCCTGAGCCTAAGCCCTCTCCACGTATGCGTTTGCAAAACGGAGTAAGACAGTGTTCAAAGAAACATAATTGTTTCATTCCACTCATTCTTTTTGCACGACAAAATTGAATATTAATCATCGCAGAGTAAAAACTATCTTATGTGTGCATTAGCATTCGTTATTTTAGGGTCATTTTTCTGTCAAAATGGCAAATGCGTACCACAGTCAGCGCACTGTAATGGCATCAACGACTGCGGTGATCACAGCGATGAGCTCAACTGTCCTGGTCAGTGACAAGTCAACAGCCTTTTCTACAGTTTAAAATTTCTAAACAGAAAGTCTATCATTATATCCCTATCAAATTCTCCTTTATTTCATCGTCATATCTTATCATCAGTTCATTTTCTTTATAGCTTAAAATATAATATTATACATAATGAATAAATAATTATTAGATCATCAGCTCATCCGAATCAAGCACTTAATAGTTTTTAGATCACGGTTGCATTTTATGATGGGCTAGTGAGACTGTTCAGTATTGACCTGTCAAGAGATAACATGATCTCAAATTTTCTTCCTTCCTTCCTTCCATCCATCTTTCCGTTCCTTCGATTCATGCAATCGGTTGCTCACATTTGAATATTACATTGATTTAGCATCACGCAAGGACTTGGATTGTTTGAAATACGAGAAAGGTGAAGCGGGTAAGATACAAACACCCAACTATCCATCACCGTATAACGGAAATACAAAATGTCGTTGGGTTATTGAAGGACCCATCAATTCACATATTCACGTACAGATGTTTTTCTCTTTTCATCTATTCTATATTTTCTTCTTTGTGAATACTTTTTTCACTTGCTCAAGTTGTGCTCTTCTAATATATTTTAATTTGGCTCAATTCAGCTTTATTTCCGTCTTCTTACATTGATTTTTGGCTTCATCAGCAGCGAGATTTCCTTTGCAGCTGACGTTCGATTCGTTTGACACCGAAGAATTCCATGATTTAGTCACTGTGCTGGATGGCGGCCCAGCCGAAAATTCGTCCGTTGTAATGAGTATTCTATCCGGCGCCAAGAAAGCGGTCACATTAATGTCGAGTACAAATGTAGTCGTGGTGAAATTCGCTAGCGATAGTCACTTACAAGCACGTGGCTTCCAAGCAACTTGGCGAGCAGGTTTTCGCTTCATTCATTATAAATATAACGATCTTATTATTATTGTTATTCACATGTCACAGTGTTGCATATATGCGTTACCACTTCATGTTTGTTACAGTATTATATGTTACAAGAACCGCTTCGTGGAATCGACTAGTCGCATAGTGTTGAGTTCAGCTTATTAGCTTGTTGCTAGAGCACCACTGATGTGTTCTCACATATTATACCTCGTGGGTGGTCAACATAGAGCAATAGTAGTATGACGGAAATTTGTGATGGTAGCCCACCGAAGCTCGTTCCATAAATTTTGGTCGGATTTCGTATTTCGAAATCACAGAAAATGGATTCCGTGGAACACAGAACCGCGAAGTTTCAAAAACGGATTCCGTTAGAATGCGATCGAATCCAAGTTCCTTTCGGTTTCTATCGCTGATAAGAATGAATATGCTCGGTGGAAATTAATGAATGCATATTGGTGTAAGTCAAGCATATGATAAATCATTGTGCAACTGAATTGTTGACTGATTTATTCCTTTTTACGTGTTCATTCGTTTGTTTCAGTCAGCGTTTCATGCGGGGGTGTTCTTAAAGCGCAGCCATACGGGCAAACACTGACCAGTCCGGACTTCCCAAAAAACTACCCGAACGGTTTGGAATGTGTTTGGAAGATTGATGCTCCGAACGGGCAACTCATCTCGTTAAATGTAAGTTTGCACGCAAATTGCACAAATGTAAGCATGTAAAAATTGGAGTATGCACACAATCTTTTCTCGTTGTTGAGTTCGATTGGTAGTTTGATGGCTGACTGACCGACTGACGAGCGAATTGTTGGATTTATTTGTTCAGGTTGAAGATCTTGATTTGGAAGCGCCAAATGATTTCTTGATCATTTACGATGGTTCCAATCCATCGACACCAGTTCTCGCGCGTCTTTCAGGCGCAATTTCACGACCTCAGTTAATAATCTCAAGTCAGAATCATCTTTACATTTATTTCTACTCGAATTTTGCACAAAATGGACGTGGGTTCAGTATCAGTTATAAGCGAGGTTCGTTATATTTGTCATTCCTTTCTATTCTGTTGTTAATCAATGATAGCATCTACCAGAGACGAGCATTAGCACGCTATCGTTACGTTTCACTACGTAGCGATAGTGCGCTACTTGGCATTTACCTTCATAGATCATTCGAGTAGCACTCGAACGGAAAGAAGGAATCAAGCATAAAGCAACTCTATCAACTGTTCATTTCGATTCTTTAGGCTGTTCGAATACGATCCGTCTTAACGATGGTGTCATTGTATCGCCGGGCTTCAATCGTGTACCGTATCCAAACTCGCAACGATGCATTTATACAGTACAACTACCCGAAGACAAAGCCAATCAGCCGTTAGCGTTGGCTGTGAATAGTTTCGATTTGGCCGAAGACGATCGTCTGACGGTAGGCAACTAAATCACTGCGACCGTTACTGTCTTGGAGTTTTTGGATGCGTTTTCGAAATCAATGTTCTTTTGATAGCAACGATGGTGGTTAATATAAGTCTAAAAGTATGATGTGATGCAGCAAATGTTAATCACGAATACAACCAAATATATGATAAGACAAGACACTAAAGTTCATGAGATATTGCAATTTACTTTTTGATTTCTTTTGCGCAGGTGCTAGCCTAAGGCTATTCCAGAGCCTCGGCTCAAGCCAGTTTGAATTTCTCAGTTGTCAACAAACACTTCTCCACTACAATTATAGTGCTTTGCGTTGCATCTCTTCAAAATGAAAGTGATGATCGACTTTTGCAGATATATGAAGAAACAGAAAGTGGTCGCGCATTACACACAGGCGACGGTTTCAGCGCAAATGTTCGTCCACCGAAAAGTATCTTCGCACAGTCTGGCACAGTGCAGGTGATTTTCGATACGAACTCGATTCGAAATGCACTCGGTTGGAACATCACGTTTTCAATAAGTAAGCGGCAGTACTCAACTGCTTTCGATTGCTTTCTTCAGGGATTGCGTAGTGCGTGCGATTTGCTTTTTCACGTAGGATATAAATTGTGTTGTTATGATTATTAATGAATACGTTGAATCGATCGAGGTTCACACTCAAATTATTCTTTGCATTCTATTCAGCAGTTAGCTAACGAAAGAAACCATAGCGATGATATTTCAGATTGTCCACCGTTGGTAACACCCAAATTGGTTTCTTTGTCGACGAAGACATCTGCGTTTGGCACGAAGGTAACCGTTTCGTGTCCACGAGGCTTCGAATTTCGTACGGGTCGCGGACAAATGTTCGATGTGACTTGCTTGCTGGGCGGTAAATGGACTGAGGACCACATACCAGATTGTCAACGTTCGTGTTTTTTTCATCTGAATTCTTCGTGAAATGAATTTTATTGGGCTTCAGATGACGAAAAACTTTCTGCAGATGAAACGATACGTTTGAATTTGAATTTAATTTTTAACCGAGGAAATTTGAATTAACTTTAACTAATCGTTTTCTAGCGGTCTATTGCTCGGCTGTTCCACAAATCGCAAACGGTTTCGCTGCGGCGGCAACAAATGTATCGTTTGGTGGATCGGCAAAATACAGCTGTTACAATGGTTTCAGTTTCCCAAGTGGACGACCAGCTGAAGAGATTTATTGCACCGATGAGGGACGTTGGACACCGTTGCCCGCCTGTAAAGGTACGACAGCTTTGTGTGTATGCGTTGATAAACTAACGAAATCTGTGTGAAAATGAATGGCTGGGAAGAGTAAGCGTGTTGATAAAAGAGCCGAGAATGAAGTGAATCGAAAAGTGCTAGTCAGGAGGATAGTGCTCCTTAATGAAGTGTATGCTGCTGGTGCTAGTCAGGAGGATAATGATGACATTTATAGCTCAAACTTGTCCAGCACTAGCGCCGTTTGCAAACGGTGAGAGGATTCTGGAATTTGGTGATGGCACTGGCTACGGAACGGTGTTTCGCTTCGAATGTGCACCTGGCTTCAGACGAACCGGAGCCGCAACGTTGCTATGTCAAGCAAATGGCCAGTGGTCATTTGAACAACCATATTGTAAAAGTAAGTCAATTATGCTGCTGTAATGAACAAAAGATCATTTATAAGGATATTCATATGTATAAACCGAATGTTATTTAACGCATTGCATGATATCTGCAATCGAAACTTGCATTGCGTTTCAGCTCATCGTCGTTAACATCACCAATCTTGCAGGATTGTCTTGCACGAGTGTACCGAGAATAGCGAACGGTCAGATCGTTTTGGGTGATCGTTTCGAAGTGGGCGATTCAGCACGAATCGAATGCTTGCCCGGATTTCGTTCGGTTGGTGCGGACTCGCTAAGATGTCTTGCAAATCAAACGTTGAGCGACGTTGCCGAATGTCGTGATATCGACGAGTGCGCTGAAGGTTCGGCAGTATGTAGTGCACAAAGTACGAAGTGCATCAATATGCCGGGTGGTTACCATTGCCAGTGCTTGAACGGATTCCAACCACAACTATGTGAGTTGTTTTTATGTCTTCTGTCCCGCTTGATTCGTTAATAGATTTCCTGTCTGAGTGCTTCCACGATTTTTTTTTGATCTACATGGATGGGTCGATATGTTTTCGTTCTGCTGTTTGTATAACTTTTTGTAAGATCCGTTGCAAATGAATTGTGACAACTATTATGAATGTTATTGTTAATGCTATTACTGGTATTGTTTTGATCTATCCATGCTTGACATTATTTCAGCGTGTACGTCAGCAACAGTGCTGAATCCTGTCACAGTGGAAGCAAGTTCAGAAAATGGCCAATTCCGGGCGCAAGACTACTCTAGCGTTGGTATGCATATAGCTTGATTAATGCTTGTCATAATTCATTATTTATCCACTGACCAATTCATTGATTGTGCACCATCTCTCTCGATCGAATAGTCGTAGTTTTATCCGGCCATAACTATGAGCTAAAATTATTCACCGTTCCTGTGGTGTATGTATCAGATTGTTGATTTAATTTTTGTTTCAGTTCACACTTTCAGATTCAATTTTCATTTCAAGTGCGTGAATCTGAACTTGAAAAGAACTGAAAATGAGTTGAAATGAAAAAAAAAAACGGAAATGAAAAGGAAATGATGAGTGTTTTTTTGACAATTTGAAGGTTGGTGTGCTGAGGAAGGGGATGGTCAACGAACGATCACATTCACATTTGCTGTGCCGAAAATTGTCGAACGTTTACGAGTGGAAAAAACGTCAAATGGTGCTTATCCGAACCTGCTGGAGATCTACTATTCAAATCGAACCGGAATTCCATTAACACAATATACTGCATCAAATATTACGGTGATTCTAATGCAGTCCCTAATTTGTTTGAATCGTTCCTTTCGATTTTACATAAAATGTAATATATTTGTTAATGTTTCTAGGTATGTTTTACATTTCGTACTTACTGTATGAGCACTTCAACGAATAAATGAATGAATTTGAATGTAAGTATTTTCAGAAGTTAGCCACTCGCAACGTAGCGATAGTTGGCGGTGAACTTTTGGTGCTACCGAAGCCGATTGAAGCGAGAGTGCTACAGTTAAAGATCGATGAATTCTCAGGGCAGTCGTGCATAAAAGTCGACGTGTTGGGATGTCATAAAACAAACTGTCTTGGTTTGTTGTTTTGTGTGTTGCTCTGTGTCTATGACAAATGCTAATTGAACTACTCTAAGAATTTTTCAACAACAACAACCCCTTAAACTACCCAGTGACGTGTGTATTTGTGAGCAAATTTTTTTTGTCTTAATCAACTTGTTTGTTTACAGATATAAATGAATGTGAACGAAACAATGGAAACTGCGAGCAGATTTGTATCAACTCACAAGGCTCATATCGTTGCGCTTGTGAGACTGGTTTTGATTTATTGACAGTCTCTGGTCAAGGCGGTGTTTTGGTTAAGGTATGTGCGCTATACTGGTCACTATTTGACTGTTGGCTGGTTGGGAGCTTTCAGTGGTAACTCTGTTTGCCTGTATTCATTGATGACTGATTAAATAGTTGATCAAAGTTTAACGCATCAGTGGATTATTCAAGCAAAACTTGTTTCTTTTGTTGTTTACGGGCTGGGGCTGTTTTGGTTGGAGACGACGAGTGAAATGAAGGTGTTTTGAGGAGGGTGAAAGTGGTGTCAACTCGCTGGACGTGATACGTTTCAATCAAACTTGCGTACCACGTACATGCTCGAATGTAACGGCTCCACTCAATGGTCTTCTTCTGTCAACTGCAAAAACCTTCCACTTTCCAATGGTTGTGCAGTTCCAATGCGATTTTTCATATCAGGTTCGTTCTCACTTTCCCTAAAATTTGAACGAAATTCATTATTAGATGAAACGAAAAAAATAGTCTTTTCCATATAAATTGAATAGATACTTACGAATTGTGTTTTACCAAGTACTCGTAGACTACTTAGTCATTTCATTGTATTCAATAACATCACTGTTTGCTACTTATCGTATCTAATGATCAGTTATTTTTTGGTTTCACTTGTATGCTACCACAATATGTATTCATGAATTTTATTCAGATGATGGGTCCAAGCCATTTGAAATGTATGCAGGATGGGACGTGGAATGGCACAGCACCGCTCTGCCTTCGTGAGTTCAATTTCATCCATATCACTATCTCAAACATATGAAATTTCATTTTTGTTGAATAAGTGTGCTAGAAATTAATAACATTGATAATATTTCTTGCAAAAAACAGCCATAGTAATAATGATAAACAATTTTCACTTCAGCTGCCACTTGCCAAGGTGTGCGCAACAATTCAGCTATTGGATTATTCGTATCACCTGAAAATAGCACCATCGCGTATGGACGTAACGTTTCCATTGTTTGCAGTCAACAGAATCGACCATGTCCGTTCATCGGTTTTTTTTCTATTCTTTTGAAATTGGTTCTTGTGGCGACAGTGGTGATCTTAATATAACAATAATAATAATCGTGATGATAATAACAGTAGTTACCTGCTAAAGTATAATGATAGTAATAGTAACTAGAACAGTGATGAGTTACGTGATATGCAGTTATGATCGAGCATTTGTAATCCTTATATTGTCATGCAGTTGATCCGATGAAATCTGATGAAAAATTAACTGGATATTTTGACTTCAACAGATACTACTCATTGTTCGTGGTCAGTGGTTTGTCAGCTTCCTCCTAACTGAGAAAGTAGCAATTTTCAGCGAGTAATTCTCTGCTATCTTCATTCCGTCAGTGCATCTACGATCCCCAACCGGACGGTCGCGACTATTGGCTATCTGGTGTTGAAGTGGACTGTCCATTGGTTGATTGTGGACCACCACCTTCACTAGCTGGTGCTTTCTACGATGGTGACGATTACTCTTATAAAGTACATTTCATGTGTTTGTTTGTTTTTTTTTCGTTTACGTAGTTACATTGATGTGCTATCGTTGCTGCTGTTATGAACAAAATATGAGAAATTCATATCATCCGCTAGAATAGTGAAATAATGGTACAACATTGAAATAGTCCACCGCATTGAATGAATTGAAACTATATGTTGACGCAGGATGTTGTTAGAGAATAGGGTGTTGTGATAACATATCAGTAATCATGATAATGATGAGAATTATCATAAGAATGAAATAATAATAGGGAAATAATTGGTGGTTTTGTTTTTCAGGTTGGTTCATCATTTACATTCAGTTGTCGACCACCGTATAGTTTGGTGGGAAAGTCGAGCTATGATGATCGTATTATTCGTTGTAATGTAGATGGGAATTGGGATTTAGGCGATTTACGTTGTGAAGGCGAGTGTTTTAATTGCTCTTTACTCGATTGTGGACCACCATTTTCGACCGCTTTCATCTGATTGGATCAATTATTGCTTCATTCATTTGATGAACATTTATGGAAAACAAATTTAGAGGGCATTGTTTTATAGCGCTGATATTTTCATGTAAAAATCGAGCAAAATGAAATGCTGTTGCTAGTATGATACATCCATTTAAGAATGTACAAATTGATTGGTGCATAATTTTCGCATTGTTCTGTTCCAGGTCCAGTTTGTGTCGATCCTGGTTTCCCAGATGACGGCAAAGTGCAACTGGAATCAGTTGAAGAGGGTGCTCAAGCAAAGTTCTCATGCAATCGAGCCGGCTATCGACCGTTTCCATCTGATACGATCAATTGCACGTTGGGTACGGCGTGTGTACTTGCGGAAGACGTCGGCATTTCGTCCGGTTTCATTCCAGATGGAGCATTCGCCGACAACTCGGATTCAACGACTTGGGGCTATGAACCGCATAAGGTGTGAACTGAATTCTCATTGAAATACTACCAAAGCAAGCAAACCTCAGGGACAGTGAAAAGAGTGACCAGTGAAGATAGCAGTGTTTGTTGTGATGAAACAATCGATTAAAATACTTGAATTCGTTGTTGTTCAGGCACGAATGTCTTCAACTGGTTGGTGTGGTTCGAAGGATGCTTTCATATTCCTGTCTGTAGATCTGCAACGCATCTACACACTAACAACATTGCGTATGGCAGGTGTAGCGGGTAGTGGTCATTTACGTGGTCACGTAACAAAGATGCAACTCTTTTACAAAGTGCAGTTCTCGCAAAATTATGACACGTATCCAATCGAATTCGAAACACCGTCCGGCAATCATAATGCAATGCATCAGTTCGAATTGAATCCGCCGTTACGTGCACGCTACATTCTACTTGGTGTCACCGAATATGAGCACAATCCATGTATACGATTTGATTTGCATGGTTGTCTTGCACCACTCTCAATTGCGCATGAGATTCCTTCTCATTTACAGGTGAGCATGTGAATAATAAACAGTCTTTTGATCGTGTGAATTTATCGAATTTTTCACACGCGAATTTTATCAGTATTCAGTTGTGCAGTTCATCCAGATCAAAATTGTCCTGAACGGTTGCGCATTGAGAACAGGGTAATATTATTTCATTTGAGGTTGGTTGGAATGCATCTGTACCGCAGTGTATCGACAGTGAACCACCAACGTTCCATAATTGTCCAACAAATCCGGTCTATGTGCTGACCGATGAAAATGGTCAGCTGCTACCGGCCACATTCGATATTCCGCGTGCTGCAGATAATTCCGGATCGATCGCATGGGTCCGTGTAGCGCCCGAAGGTTTTGAGCCACCGCAACTCATCTCGCACGATATGGATGTGATCTATACAGCATTCGATGATGCGGGCAATACAGCTGAATGCGTTGTGCAGTTGCGTATTCCAGGCAAGAATCCATCATATAAGTAGTTGTTGAATCATCAGTGCATTTTTTCATGCAAAAATAGTCTTATGTGAGCAGTTAATGTGACGAATGAAAGAATATAAATAATTTAGATACTCAACCACCAGTGATGAAATGTCCTGACTCATATATAATACCGGCATCTGAAGGCCAATTCGAAGAAGAGGTCTACTTCAACGAGACTTCTGTGCAAATGGTTATTCAGGATATTTCGAATATTTCTGAGGTGTTGTTCGATCCACCACAAGCATTGCTGAAACTTGGCTCTCATGTTACCGTTGAGGTGACCGCCACAGACAGTGCTTCAAATCGCAACAAATGCAAATTCCAGGTTTCCTTGCAAGGTTTGTTTGTTTGCTTACCTCGTTTTGTAAGTTCCAAATAAATGGCGATCAATTAATTAATAGAGTAGTTGATCTGTCGACCATTAGCGTTCTGCCAAATCGCCATAAAAGTCACTGCAGGCTGAAAGGATTTACAAACAGAAAAGAATACGCTCCACTAGTGTTCGTCGGGGAACGGGGTCCCCGTCGGGGACCCCGGCGGGGAACGCGGGGAGCGCTCCCCCCCGCGCAATTTGCTCCCCGACTTTTT